GAAGCGGGCTCGATCCCAGGACCCTGGGATCATGACCTGAGCCGAAGGCAGATGCTTAACCAGCTGAGCCACCCAGGTGCCCCCATATACATAGAATTTTACAGCACGTTCTCTTTTGTGTCTGGCTTCTTCTGCTCAACCTCATATTGGTGAGATCCATCCATGTTACTACATAGAGTTGTGGTTTGTTCCCATTGCTTTATTTTATTTCACTGTATGAATAAACCACACTTTAATCTATTCTACTGATGTGAGATATTTGGGTAGTTCCCAGTTCGGGGCTATGGTGGATCAGAGTGTTAGCATATAGCTCTGGTAGATTTTGGGGATTCTGCTCAACAGTTTTCCAAAGTGCTTGTACTGTCTGGCCCTGCCGGCATCCACACCTGGCCTTCTCTCTAGCCCGGCTTCTGCCTGAGCTGCTGTTTCTGTCCAGCTTCCTGTCCCAGACACTGTCCGTGGTCCTAGCCCTGACCTTGGTCCTGTCCTTGGTTCCAGCCCTGATGCTAGTCCTCAACTTAAATTGAACTTTTCATTCACTCATCTGGTCAATATTTATCAAGCACCTCATATGTGCTAGATGCAAGGGTACAATAGTCAAGAAAAAATCAAGTGCCATGCCTGCCCTCATGGACCTTACCGTCTAGTGGGTACGACTGAGTGTGGGCAGGAAAGCGTTAGAATAATCCCACCAATAAGTATATAATTATAAATTGTTATACATGCTACAAGTGGGAATTATGTGCCTCTTTTTTTTTTTTTAATCAGTCCTGTTACATGGCTCTTTGATATCACATGTTAGGGGGGACCTGGGCAGGAAGGTTTCCCTGAGGAAGCAATGTGGGGCTGAGATATAAGGGATGAGGAGGCCACGAGGAAAGGGAAGAGTGTTTCACATAGAGGGAGCACCGTATACAAAAGCCTAGGGTTGGGAAGGGTGTGAGGGACGTAGGTCCACGGGACTGGAGTGGGGAGAGGGAAGGAAGTGTTATGGGAGATGAGGCTGGAGAGGTCAGCAGGGACCGTCCCTCCCTGAGCTGGATGCAGGGCTGTTTGTCAGTGTTTGAAGGGAATTTAGAAAGGAGACACTGGAGAGTTTTTAGGGGGAACGGGACATCCTAGTTGCCTTTGTGAGACTGTAAGGGGCAAGAGTGGAAGCAGAGGGACCAGCTTGGAGGCAAACGCAGTTGTCAAGCAAAAGTTAGGTGATGGCTTGATCTCTAACTCAAAGAGAGAGCGAGCGAGAGAGAAGGAAGCAGATTAAAGGATGTTTATGAGAAGGTAAGGGCAAATACCACAAAATATGGTGGCGTTGATGGCAGTTAGGTTTCTAGGTTGTTCTAGGTTTCTAGGTTTCTGGATGAATGGTGGGGCCATGAGCTGCAGTGGAGAACACAAGAGAAGTGATGGGGTACAGGAAGGGTGACCATGAGTTCAGTTTCAGACATGTTGAATTTGAGGTGCCCAAGAAGAGTCGCCAAGTAGCCAGTTGGGTACATTGCTTGGAGTTAAGAGGAGATGAGCGGGCTAGTTGATAAACTGGGGTATAGTTTGGAAATTAAAATCCTGTGTCTGGGTGAAAGTACCTACGTGAGTGACTAGAAAAGTAGGTCTCAACTTTGGCTGCACATTACAATCACCTGGGGTGCTTTTAAAAAACACTGAGTACAATTTAGTGCTTCCGTTACTCTAGGCACATCTCAAGTGTTCAAGAGCCACATAGCTCTCCTGGCTACTGTACGGACAGCCAGATACAAAATGTTGTGAAATGGAAGATGTGATCAACAGTGTCCAGTGATTTTTGAGACAGGTCAAGTAAGATGAAGACAAATGTCTCTCATTTTGTGACACTGAGATCTTTGGGCGATCTTAGGGAGAGCTGTTTGATAAATTGAAAGGAGGTGGGGCAGCCGGATGGGAGTGCCCTGAGGCATGCGTGGGATGGGATATGGGGAATGGAAACAGCAAATACAGATAAATCTTTTGACAACTGAAGCCATGAAGTAGAGGAGGGAAATATGTGCTGGCTGGAGGGAGTATGAGATTGGGGAAGGTTTTGGTTGTGGTTGTTGTTGTTGTTTAGAGAGAGAGCACGCGCGCACAGGCGCGCGTGCGCATGTGTGCGCAAGGGAGGGGGAAGGGGCAGAGGGAGAGAGAATCTCCAGCAGACCCTAGGCGGGGCTCGATCTCAGAACCCTGAGATCATGACCTGAACCGAAGTCAAGAGTTGGATGCCTAACTGACTGAGCCACCAGGCACCCTGTTGTTGTTTTTTTAAGATAAAAATTTCATATTTTGAAATACACAAATCTAAAGTGTATAGCTCAATTAATCTTTGAATATGTATACATCTGTTTAACCACCACCCAGATCAAAGTACAAAATATTTCCAGTAGTCCTGTCTTCTTTTTTTTTTAAAGATTTTATTTATTTATTTGAGAGAATGAGAGAGAGAGAAAGCATGAGAAGGGGGAGGGTCAGAGGGAGAAGCAGACTCCCTACTGAGCAGGGAGCCCGATGTGGGACTCGATCCCAGGACTCCAGGATCATGACCTGAACTGAAGGCAGTCGCTTAACCAACTGAGCCACCCAGGCACCCCAGTAATCCTGTCTTCTAATAGTAAAGAGTAACTCTGCCTGTTTTTGAAACTCATGTAAATAGCATCATTCACAAAGTTCTCTTTTTGTATCTGGTTTCTTTTGCTAGCATTATGTGTGTGAAATTGTCTATGTTGTTACATGCAGCAAGAGGGTGTTTTCATTGCTGTGTTTCATTGTATGATTGTGCCACAATTTGTTTATCTGTTCTATTAATGGAACTTGTTTCATTTGGCTGATATGAAAAAAAATCTCATGAACATTCTTGTACATATCTTTTGGAGAATATATGCAGTCATTTCTGTTGGATATTTACCAAGAAGTGGAATTGCTGGGTTATAGGCTATATGTCTTTGTAGATACTGCCTAGCAGTTTTCCAAAGCGGGTGCACTAATTTATGCTCCTGCTTGCAATCGATGAGAGTTCTAGTTGCTTCACATTCTTGCCAATATCAAGTAACAACAACCCCTTTAATTTTAGCCATTCTGATGGCTATATAATGGCATCTTGTTGTGGTTTTAATTTGCATTTCTCTGGTTACTAGTTTTGTTACACACCTATATATATGTTTGTTTTCCATCTGTTTATTGGTCCTTCGGATATATTCTTTTCTAGAGTACTGGTTTAAGACTTTTGTCAATTTAAAACACTGAGTTGCCTGTCTTGTTTTTGTTTGTTGTTTTTGTTTTGCAGGGGTTTCTTATTTTAGATTTTAATCCTCTCTCTCACTCTCAATATCTCTCACTCTCTCTCCCACCCCCGCTACCTCCTGACATTTCTCATATATTTTATCCCAGTGTATGGCTTTTATTCTTATTCTCCAAAAGGTGTCTCTGGATGACCAGAAGTGATCAATTTAATGAGTCCTAATGTATCCATCTCTTTTTTTATGGTTAAGTTTTGTGTGAAATATTTTATGGTTAAATTTTATGTGGTTAGGTTTTAAGAAATCTTTGCTTACTCTAAGGTTGTAAAAATGTTCTCCTATTTTTCATTTGTACAATATTGTTCTGAAAGATATTGTTTTACCTTTCATAATTAGGTCCGTTAGATTCACTTCAAATTAATTTCTCTATGTGGACATAGGGAGAGATAGATTTTTTTTTCCATTTGGATCTTTCCTCATTTCTCAAAAAGAGCATCCATTCTCTTTTTAATTGCAGTGCCGCCTTTGTATGTGGTCATGTATCTAGACACTATTCTGTTCTATCCTTGCACCTTTATCAGTTTTGATATTTGGTAATGTAAGTACTGAGGAAGAAGGATTTTCTCAAACGACAGGAGATACTTGAGCTCCTATAAAAGCTGACAGGAAGGATTTTGCGGAGAGTGAGGGATTGAATAAAAGGGAGAGAGGGGATAATCTTCACCTAAGAAGATAGTAGGAGCTGCGTTCCAGGTGCTTGTGGAAGGATTGGCCTTGTACACCCATCCGCTAATCCATTCAACGAGAATGTGTTGGGGAGCCCCCATGTGTCAGACACAGGCGTACAGCAGTGCCAGGACAGACGAGGTCCCTGTTCTCATGGGGTTCCCACGTTAGTAGTGGGAGACAGATAACAGACAAGTACCCACAGGAACAGGTGATTCAGGCAGCAGTAAATGCCATGAAGAACATAGGCAGGATACTGCCTTAGAGAGCAATGGAAGCCCATTCTAATGGGGCACCAGGGAGGGTCTTGGGATGCAAGACACGTGAGGTAGGATTTGAACCAAGAAGGAGCCAGTCTTGAAGAGCATCCCAGACAGAAAGAATGTACAGCTAAAAGGCCCTTAGACTAATGTAAGCTTGTAGTATCTGTAGAACAAACAAAAGACCAGTGTGGGTGGACCAATAAAGACGAAAAAGAGGGGGGCAGGGAGCTGGGTAATCAAATGACATCAGAAAGCAAATAATACATTATATGTTAAAAAAAAAAGAAGATGAAGAAGAAAATAGCAGGAGGGGAAGAATGAAGGGGGGGAAATTGGAGGGGGAGATGAACCATGAGAGATGATGGACTCTGAGAAACAAACTGAGGGTTCTAGAGGGGAGGGGGGTGGGAGGATGGGTTAGCCTGGTGATGGGTATTAAAGAGGGCACGTTCTGCATGGAGCACTGGGTGTTATGCACAAACAATGAATCATGGAACACTACATCAAAAACTAATGATGTAATGTATGGTGATTAACATAACATAAAAAAAAAAAAAAGAAAAAGCAAGGTAGAGACCAAATTGGCCCAAGGAGGCTATCCCTTAGGGTTGGGCTGAATGTGGAGTTTCCCATGCATGTGAGTTGGTAGGTTAGTTGTGGGTGATGCGACTGTGGGTGTGTATATTGGGGGAGGTGGGGAGCTATCTTGTCTCCTTCTCTGTGAACCTGCTCACATGTGCCCTCTCTCCCTGCAGCCTCCTGAGTGATGCCAGCCCAATGGTTCCTAATCTCCAGACTGGCCCTCTTGGTACTGCTGGGCACAGTCAGAGCAGGCCCTTTCTCTCCACGGTCCAATGTGACACTCCCAGCCCCACGTCCCCCTCCCCAGCGGGGGGGCCGCACAGTGGAGCCAATAGGGGGAAGCCCCTCTTCTCAGCTTTATGAGCACACTGTGGAAGGAGGGGAGAAGCAGGTAGTTTTTACCCACCGCATCAACCTGCCCCCTTCAGCTGGCTGTGGTTGTCCCCCGGGCACAGAGCCCCCAGTTCCTGCTTCAGAGGTGCAGGCCTTGAAGGTCCGGTTAGAGATCCTGGAGGAGCTGGTGAAGGGGCTCAAGGAACAGTGCACTGGGGGATGTTGTCCTGTTGCTGCCCAGGCTGGCACAGGTGAGCAGACAGATGATCAGGGGAGGGGGCACAGAAAAAGAGGAAGGTGGGGAAGTGGGTCAGGGTTAGGTGGGCATCACTAGTCCATAAAGGATCTTGGTCTGAATTAGAAAAAGGCATCTCTTCTTCCCCTTTAGGGGTGGTGAGTGCAACCCAGGGCACAACTCAGAGAGAGAAGCCACCAGACTAGGTGTCAGCACTTCCCTCCCCCGTCCCCAAGCATATGCTAGGGCCTTGGCAGGCCACATATATTGACTAGGAGTACCTGGAAACAAAGATGACCTTATGAAATGAGCCTGGTCCTGCTGGAGGGGCGGACGGAGGGGAGCACCCTATGGGCTTGGTCTCCCTCCCCAGAGAAACTGAGTCCTGCCTCTCCCTCTTACTCCAGGCCAGACGGATGTTCGTAGCCTCTGCAGTCTCCATGGCGTGTTTGACCTGAGCCGCTGTGCCTGCTCCTGCGAGCCAGGCTGGGGTGGGCCCACCTGCTCAGACCCCACAGGCGCTGGGGTGCCCCCATCCGCCCCACCCTCAGCCTCCCGGGCCTGCCCAGATGACTGCAACGATCAGGGTCGCTGTGTCCGCGGGCGCTGCGTGTGCTTCCCTGGTTACAGCGGCCCCAGCTGTGGCTGGCCCTCCTGCCCCGGGGACTGCAACGGCCGTGGGCGCTGCGTGCAGGGCGTGTGCGTGTGCCGGGCGGGCTTCTCGGGCGACGACTGCAGCCTGCGCTCCTGCCCCCGGGGCTGCAGCCAGAGGGGGCGCTGCGAGGACGGGCGCTGCGTGTGCGACCCGGGCTACGCAGGCGACGACTGCGGGGTGAGGAGCTGCCCTAGAGGTTGCAGCCAGAGGGGGAGCTGCGAGAACGGGCGCTGCGTGTGCGACCCCGGCTACGCGGGAGACGACTGCGGGGTGAGGAGCTGCCCCCGGGGCTGCAGCCAGAGGGGGCGCTGCGAGGAC